AAACAAAATGGCTGCCACGACTTTTGCAGCCTTGCTATACCAGGAAAACGAGCTCCTATGCTTACCAGACTTCTTAGAGGACCTTATCTTGACCAGAGGACTCCAATGGTACCACTAGCGTGGCTCTAGACCTTTTCTGGGAGAAAAATCAAAAATCTGCAAACCGGCCGTTTTGTTCAGCCACCTTTTTTCATCTTCATCATCATATGATCATCATCATGATCTCCTGTCAATCCAGTTGTTGGTCGATATATCAGTCTTACCTGGTGATAGAAGGTAGGGTCTCAAAAGCGGACGGACGGACGGACCCGCCCCGCCCGAAAAAGGACGGACGGACGGACTGATGCGGACCCGACAGGACCATAAATATCCATGTAAAGGACAATCATTCATGGATAATCTGTCTTTAAAACACTTTTATACTTGGACAATAAATTTATGTACGTATTAACTATGCTAGGACCAATAGAAGAGGTCATGTTAGCGAAAATGTAACTTTATCAATGCCAAAATTGCCGGCTACTACAGGCTGCATGAAGCATCACAATACTGAACCATCTCTTGAATTCTATTTGTTATTCTTAATAGGAGTTCAGTGAAACCATTTTAATGATTTTTCTATATTATTTGGTGCAAGTCTATATCTTCAATCAATATATTCTAAGAGGAATTACCATTTACAGTGAATATAAGCAGGAATACAATGTAGACTATATAGGATGACTATTATTAAATAAAAACTGCAATTTTTTAGAGTAATAATTATGTTTTGTGTATTATCAACAGCAATCTTTAGTAAATTGGTTGCAAATCAACCTGATGAGACTGTTGACTGATACTTTTATGTAAGTTATTTCATCACAGCTGTACAAATAATATCTATGTTTTAACACTATAAAATTAGGATTATATATGATGTAAGTGAAGTTGAATCTATTGTAATGCCTTGTCATGTCAGGAGCCACTAGATTTTAATTGTAAGTTTTTTTTAATTTAAATGTCTACAATGTTAATAGCGGATTTGTATAGGTTATTAAGCGTCATAAATCAATTTTTTAATTTTGATTCTGTTGAAAAATATTTTACTGTGACAAAACAAGCAAGTGCTGGTATGAATCAAAATTTTATTTGAATTAATGTTTTTTGTTCAAATTAAATAGTGTGTTGTCAATGTATTTGAAAAAAGGTAGGGGTGCACACACAGAAGTTTAATTTTTCAGACTATACAAACATACTATGAAGTGGTATGTACAAACTTGCAAATTTTAGTTTATTATTGCAACAGTTTGTACCCAAACAAGACAGTTTCATTGACTGTGGTGCTTATCTGTGCAAATTATGCATATCTAATCTGTTATTGTTAAAATTAATTGACTTTTAGTTTGCCTATACATCATACTGTGATGGTTATGCTCTGTCATAGCATTGTTTATTAGATAACTTCAAAATTTTTGAGGCAATGGCTTATGACTCTCATGCTTCACAGTATCAGGTAGAAATTGCTATTGAAATGGAATATCATTTTTATATAGGTGGAAGACAATAACTGTTAGCGTTGCAACCAGAGTTGCTTAGTGCTGAGCAACTCATTACAATGATTTACAAACATTAAAAAGGGATCTGCAAAAAAAGTGTGGCATTCCTAGCCCAGGTATGACAAAAATAAATATACTAGAAGTAACTATAATTTTTACATTTATTACGTAGGATAACTACTTTTTAGGCTGGATTCTAAAGCTCAATATAACTATTTCAAAGGGTCTCCTTATTTTTAAAAAGCAGTGATTTCAAGGATATTAAAATATTATTATTTTAATTGTGTAATTAAATGAAATCAGTATCTCAGTATAGTGTTGCATGCAATAGCACTGATAAAAATTAATCATAAAATTTCACTATGTTTATTATTAGACTTACACCAAATAATATAGAAAAATCATAAAAATGGTGTCACTGAACTCCTATTAAGAATAACAAATAGAATTCAAGTGTTAGTTCAGTATTGTGATGCTTCATGCAGCCTGTAGTAGCAATTTTGCATTGATAAAGTTAAATTTTTGCTAACATGACCTCTTCTATTGGTCCTAGCATAGTTAATACGTACATAAATTTATTGTCCATGTATAGAAGTGTTCTAAAGACAGGCTATCCATGAATGATTGTCCTTTACATGGATATTTATGGTCCTGTCGGGTCCGCATCAGTCCGTCCGTCCGTCCTTTTCGGGCGGGGCGGGTCCGTCCGTCCGTCCGCTTTTGAGACCCTACCGGGAAATGCCGGGGTAAAACCGGGCTGCCCCGGACTGGGGCTTCACCTATTTTCATGGAATAAGGACTGATATGGAGCTAGTAGCCTAGTAAGGACATAGAACAAACTACTGCATGAGTAACTGTGCAATTAAATGATTATATTCTTTTATTGTTAAAATTTAGGGAAGCCATGAATCCCCCTTGACTAATGCTGGGAACTGACAAGGCCGCTCTACTCCCATCTGCCGGTCTTCTATAAGTCCACTTTAATTAACTCTCTCATTTTTATTTCTGATTTTATTTGCTGTCATTGTTATCTTAATTTTCATTTTCCTTGATTGTTGATTTATTTTTTTTTTTTTATATTTATTACTATTATTTTTACTGTTGATCATTACTTCA